CTTTCCCTAATGTACATTAAAATAAATACAGCTATAAAAATTATTTTTAAGTTCACCAATGTATACTCCTGAATACATGCCACTACTGTGTAACACATGCATGCCCCTGTATCCATACCAAATCCAGCAGTGAATATGCTGCACTTCAGGAAATACTGGAGTATTTCAGTGTGCGGTTTTCCAGCAGAGGTTAAGTGTGATCTGAACTTTGGTTCAGTAGAACTTTGGTGGTAGTAGAGAGATGGCACTCAAGGATGACTGGTTTTGAGACTAGGAAAATGGTGGTGGTAAGGATCTAGATAGAGGGTGCCAGGGCCAGCCTATGGCATGGTAGTTAAGGTAACTGGATCCTACATGTCCAAGTCCTGGACCTGGAAGCTTGGAAAACACATCAGGCACATGTGTGTGCATGCCCAAAATCCTGAGGAGAATAGAGAAGGGACTGCAGTGTGACCTTTCTCCCTGAGAGGAGTGTTTTCTTTCTCTCTCTGGCAAGCACACATACCCAAGAGCAAATTAAGGAGGGAAAAAAAAAAAAAACTATACCAGGAGTGCCAGATAATGGCACCGTGGGAAAATGTGATGCTCTGCAAGGTTGACCCACACAGAAGGGTTCTAGGTTAGCATCTGGAGCTACCTCTCTGAGTGCACATGTCCATGATCCAGGAGTGAGTCTAGGGGTGGATCACAGTATCCAGACTGTTGGGGGTGCTTTCTCTAGCTCTCTCTCACTCCTCCATGGAAAAAACTAACTTGTTAAAAATGGATGCAAGAGGGACCAGCAGTTGACATAATGGCTATGTCACTGAACTCCCATGTAGTCGACCACGGTTCAAGTCCTGGACCCAGTGGCTTAAACTCACGTGGGGCACGTGTGTGTGCGGGCCCAAGATCCTGAGAGAAGGGATTGCAGCGATTTCTCGCTTTCTCTCTCTGTTTCTCTCTTTCTTGGGGGCACGGCCTTTGTAGCAAACGCCCCCCCCCCCCAAAAAAAAAAAAAAGAATGTGAGAGCCTTTGGCATAGTGGTTAAGGCGGTTGAATCCTGCATGGTCCAGAATCAACAGCTTAAAAAATACACCAGGCACTTGTGTGTGCTTGCCCAAAATC